ATAAGATATGCAATATCAATTAACAAAAAGCATATTCGACACCCAATGGACAGGTAAATTTTAATGGCTGTGCCTCAATCGTATGGCTAACGGTAGGCCCTCTTTGAAATGTGCGGTTTGCATTAAACACGAAGATCCGGGCGCACACACGGCCTTCGGGATTAGAGGAGAGGGAGTTCGTGACTTGCAGGTGGGGAGCATCCGCTCTCACTCCGCTTCCCGAGCCCACAAGCAGGCACTAAAGAACGAAGCGTTGGCAGAGGCGGCCAAAGCGAAGCAAGCTACTCTAACAAGGTGGCAGACAACTGATGCATCGACGAAGCACATCATACGGTGCCTCCACATCGCCCTCTTCGTCTGCAAGGCAGACGCTCCCACCGCGCTGTTTGTGCCGCTCTGCTGGTTTCTCGCTAAGGAGGGCTTACCTGACCTTCCTCCGGCTGGCGGTTACGGCGCATACTATACCGAGTGAGTTGGACGCGTTTGTTTGGCTCTGGTTTCTGGTTCTGGTGTTTATGTTAAATACTGATGCGTTCCGCTTGTGTGCTTGGCAGTTACGGGTTCAAGGAATGCTTGAGAGCCCACTCAACATATCTCCAAGAGTCTCAGCGCCTTCACCTCCTGGAATCCCCGTGGATGGGGATTTCGCTCGACGAAAGCACAGACCGCGTACATGGGAAACATCTAATCATTTACGCCACGTTCTTCAAAAACACCACGGTTGTAACCGAGTTTTTGACGTTGATCATAGTTGACCGTTATGACGCTGCTTCCCTAGCCTCTACAGTTGTGCAGTATCTAACTGCCATTGGTGTGGACCTTCAGAAGATTTCAGGCATTTCAACCGGCGGCGCAAGCGTGATGACGGGGAAGAACAAGGGTGTCGTGGCGAGGCTGCGAATGAGGATTCCTCACCTCGCCTCAATCCACTGTATCGTGCATAGGTGAGCCTTGTTCGGGCATTTCATAATCCTTGCCTTTCAAGAAGGATTGTATACCAAGTTCAATCCTCCGCTCTATTTTTTCGTGCAGGGAGGCGCTCGCTGCAAGTGATGCCGCGGATGCAGTCCCGGAGTTGCGCATGGTTGACAATGTGGTGCGTGCATTCGCTGAGCACATACCGTATGGCCCCGGATATAGGCGCCGTCCGATTAAGGGCGCCGGCGCTTCTATCTGGAGCATGGCGCTTATGGCCGGAACTCGATTATAAGCGCCCCCCCTTTAGTGGGTTTACTTATTATAAGCGCACCTTTTCACGTTGTGGAGAATTCATTACAAAAAAAACATCTCTAATTAACACTAAACATGAGCATTAAAACTTTTCACCTACAAAGAAATTAAGACAATTTTATCTAGCTACATATTGCAAAGTTTAGCATCTCTACCTAGAAAATCTACTCCTCCTCGTCGGATTCTGGCTCCTGGCAGTTGTTGCCAAAGAAGCCATCGGCGATGATGGAGTCATCGACGTCCACCTCCGCGGTCAGGTGGCTCCGCCTGTGCGCCATGGCGAGGCCGTCCTCACTGCCGTCAAGCGCGTTGCTGATGCCACAAGTGAGGAAGGCGTGCTTGATAAGGTCGGCGGGCACTGCTTTCCAGGCCCGTGAGATCCACCTCACGACCACCTCTGGGGGTGGCTTCTTCAAGTTCCCTGTACCAACAGAATCACACAATATATACCGGTAGTTAGCGCAACAAAAGGGGGGGAAATCATCTACGGTAAGATAGGGACTCGCGTGACTACCGTACCTGCTCTTGTTGATGGAGACGTCGAGGGGCTGTACCTTCGCCGTGCAGCCAGACGGGATGATCGCCGGCACGCAGTTGAGCTCGCGAAACTTCTCCTTAACGGCCTTAGTGAGGTGACTGCGGTACGAGTCCAGTACGACCATCGAGCTCCGCGCATGCCTCCCGAACCCAGGCTTTAGAAATGGCTTGACGCACTCCTCAAGCCATTGTATGACGCTGTTGGTGTCCATCCAGCCGTTCTGGTGACACGACACGACCACATCTGCATAACAAACAAGCTTCTGTAAGTCTCTTTAAAAACAGGACCGGTGTAAAGCAAACAAACGAGAATCATGACTCACCCGGCGGGAACACCCCTTTCGGCACGGTCTTCCGCTTGAAAAAAACCCACGGCCTCAGCTTCATCCCGTCCGCCGTGCACGCCAACATCACGGTCACGCGCTCCTTCTGGTACCCTGCGCTCCTGATGGGCACCGACCGAACACCGGTTTGATCGACGATAGTGGTGGCGGGCATCTCCAGCCACAGCGGCATCTGGTCGGCGTTGATAATCCACGTCGTCTCGATGCCGCGCTCCCGACGCTTGTCACGGACGAATTGCCAGAAGTTCTTGCATTGCTCCGCGACACCTGCGGTTGAGCACAGTTACGGTTAGTGAGTAACAAGTGCATACACATGGCATAGAGAATAAAAATGATTCTTACGGGCGACCTTCGTCTTCATTCGCACGCTGAGATTCCACCGCCGACGGAACCGGTCCGACCACCGTTGGCTCCCTTTCCACTTCACGAGGGGGTAGAGAATCTTCATGAACTCCCGGGACCACTCCTGCAGGCGGCCGACGGACATTGCGTTTCCCTTGCGTCGACAGTCGAGCAGTCGCTCATACACCTTGATCTCCATCGGGCGGTACCACGACGCCCTGCCGCGACCGTGCATGCGGCACCTGGCAGAATGGGCTTCCTTGAGGAAGTCAGCGGCACGCTTCCAGTTGGCGAGGCACTTGCGGTGGATGCCACTCTCGCGAGCCAGAGCGCGCACCGACACCGCCACATCCAGCTGCGCGACCCACTTCAACTTCTCGGCGGCAGTATAGGCCCGACGCTTGTGGTCGTTGGGCTTGTGCCTGGTAGAGGGGGGGCGAGAATCACGGTTCTGTGAAGAAGGGTGAGGTCGCTTTCGAATTACGTGGAGGATAAGTTGGTATCGGGAGTTTCTCGGGGAGGCCATCGCGTGACCAGTATTCGACGACGTCGTCGTCGTCACCGCCCGGCGCACCCTCGGGAAACACATCCTCAGCAGTGCCGGCCTCAGTAGCGGCCTCGGTGTCGGCCTCAGTGCCACCCTCGGCGCCGGCGTCGCCCTCAGCGCGCCAACCTTTCTCGGCGTCTTGCACGTCGTCGTCAGCGCCGACTGCAGATTCATCCCACGGGAAATCTTCTGGCTGGCCCCAACGTGGTGCTGGCGCTGGAGCAGGTACGTCAACATCGGGGCCCTTGTCATAATCCGGTTCCAACAGATACTCGTCGAACGCCGATGGGAGCAGGAGCGTGAGCACGGGGTGGTTGTCGATGTGAGGGGCCACCGGACAAGGAGGAACAGGAGGAGCAGGAGGAGCAGGGGGAGTCGGAGGCACTGGAGGAGCCGGAGGAGCAGGCGGCGCAAGAGGCTGTGGTGGCTCTGGAGGGTCTGGAGGTATGCGGCTATACCACTCGTTAGCTGTAACACGGTACGCGGGCCTACTAGAAGGTTTTTTCTTGAAGAGAAAATGAGTGCCTGTGAATTCCGCCATGGCTTCCGCAGCCAGGCGGGCGAGAAAAAGAAGACTGAATCAAAAACTGCAACCCTGGGTGTTGAAATGGGAGATTGAAGGGGACCCCTTCTGGTTTGCGGCTCGGGGTCCTCGTCGATGAGAGACGAGTACACCCCTGCCCCAACCCGCAGAGGAGGGTTGGGGGCAACATCCATGCTGCGCTGGCATGGCAGATTCCATCACGTTCTGGATCGTTCTGCCGAGATGCTCCTGCCTGGCAGCGCATGCGAACCTGATTGGGCCGCACGGCAGGTTTTGCATCAGCGCTGGCAGGTGCGTTGCACCGGGACGGGTTTTGTGCGGTGGGAAATCGAACCGCGGCAAGTTTCGCCATCATTCCATGCACGACCCCGCGTGCATGGTACAGTGTTGTATTCGCCTTATTCACGGCTTCATAATGGTATCCTTTACAGAGAAATTCATTTTTTGCCATTATAAAAGCGCCGGCGCTTATGTCCGTTACTCAATTACAAGCGCCCCCCCTAAAAAAAAATAATTTATTATAAGCGCATATGCGCTACTATCCGAGGTATTACGGTAGTGTCAGAATCCCAACCACTAGACCATTGGGATAACATGGCTTGTTAAGTAGCGGGTCAGTGCGCCCATAACCCCTAAGGACAACGAGCCTGTAACCCTTCCATAGGATCAATCGGGGATCACCAGTGGACCTCTGACACCCCCCCGCACTGGGATGCCCGAAGTGCACACACTGAGATTCGAACCCGAGACCTTCGCTCTGATACCATGTTAGAATCCGTAGTTAAGTGGGGAGTGAGCCATGGCTAGGGTGTGGAGCTAGGCATGATTGTCGAGAGAAAAAATCGAGAAGGAGGATGTTTCACTATAGAAATTGGAGTACAAATAGGGTAGGAAAGGTGGGTACACCACCAAGCAGGAGGTTAGGATAACTACACTAAGGCTAGAACTACATGCAGTCATAATATAATTCTGACACATAGGACGCAGCAGCGTGCATTACCAGAAGTTCCAGAACCTCCAGCACATTCTCTGCCAGACAAACTTGGAGGCGCAGGGGATTCACGCCGTCCGCTGGCTGTCGCGGGGTGAGGCGGTAAACCGGCTGCTCGAAGTACTCCCTGCAGCAGTCGTGGTGCTGAAGGAGTACAAGGCAGAGCTGTATGAGGCGGTCACCTCGTTTAAATTCCAGTGGCTAATACGGTTCCTTGCAGACGTGTTGTGGGAACTCAACCACCTCAACCAGCGGTTTCAGCAACGCCACGTAAGGCAGCCGCATTCATTCCTTGAAGTTCCAGCATGCATTCTCTTTGTTCTATGATACCACACTAACTAGTGGTCTTGCCCCTTGCAGATCAACGTCACCCTTGTGGCGCACATCGTGCAGCAAACAAGGCTGCGCCTGAAAACCAGCTATTTCTTGAGGGACCCTGCAGGCCATTTCGGAGCCGGGGAGAAAATGCAACTGCCGGAGTTTATCAAGAACCACCAGTCGCTGGAGAAGAGGGAGATGAAGGCCGAAGGAGTTGGCGCTGACGGCACGCCCGTCTCCTTTGTCTACATCATGCACGAGCGGCCCCTCCCTGACCACGAGACGGATGGAGACGTTACAGTGTGTGTCGAGTTGTCGCTGGAGTTTGTAAAGGCTGTGGACGCCGAGCTCGAGTGGCGCATGTGCGACCTGCACCTGCTATTTCTTGAGGGACCCTGCAGGCCATTTCGGAGCCGGGGAGAAAATGCAACTGCCGGAGTTTATCAAGAACCACCAGTCGCTGGAGAAGAGGGAGATGAAGGCCGAAGGAGTTGGCGCTGACGGCACGCCCGTCTCCTTTGTCTACATCATGCACGAGCGGCCCCTCCCTGACCACGAGACGGATGGAGACGTTACAGTGTGTGTCGAGTTGTCGCTGGAGTTTGTAAAGGCTGTGGACGCCGAGCTCGAGTGGCGCATGTGCGACCTGCACCTGCTTGAAGGTTCGAAGCTGTTTCGCACAGCATCGTACCTTCCTGATGATGCTAAGCGAGTGGAGGCATTGAAGAAGTGGCTGGGCCAACTTCACAAGTTGTACAGCAACAAACTGCCTGGTGAGTTTGTATGTTGACCGAGTTGCCTGTGCAGCAGTGTGTGTGCATAGTGTCTATCTTTCTGTGCCTCCTGCAATCAACAGAGACGTGCACCCGAAATTATATTGTTGGACTAATGCCCCCCCTTCCTTCTCGAGTCTGCGTGCTTAGCCCAACTATCCCCCCCGCCCCCATCATAACAGGCTTCAACTATGAGCGGGTGGGGCAAGAACTGTGGATGTTCACATCCACAATGTTCTACCGGCACAACAACGAGGACTTCCACCAGGCGTTGTGGAACATGTTACGCGACGATGCCTGGCAGAACTCTTTCCCCAACATCATGAGCATCTGGCAGTCGGTAGTCGTGCTGCCGTTGAGCACGGTGGAGTGTGAGAGAGGTTTTAGCAAACAGAACCTCATCAAGACATAGGGCCGTGGCAGCATCGGCGACAGCAGCCTGGAGCACCTGATGCGCTGTTCCTTGCTCCAGTACGACACCAATTGGTACGAGGTGGTCGCCATATTCCGAGGGGAGAAGCTTCGACGGTCCACCAAGGACTTAGACATGAGCAAGCCTAGCGGCACCCAGTTTGTAGATGATGGAAGTGTGACTAGCACAGAGTAGATAGTGGTGTTTGTGCCGAATGTTTAATCTTATGGTAATTCACTTTATGTTTAATGTTGTTTATGGCAAAACAGCTGTAAATCAGTGTACTGTGAAAGTTACACTGATTGATTCAGTGTATGTTTTTTTTTAGGCTGTTGCCATCAGTGTACGGAATTTTTTACACTAGAGGTCAGGTTACAAGAGGCCTGACACCCTGATACGAAAGGGTGACCCAAAACCAATTTTGGGCCCTGCTCAGGGACCCCTAAACCCTGCGAATGTTATGTTACATTCATTTTTTTGCTCATGATGAATGTTACATGTTATTTTTTTCTTACCATTGAAATGCTGCCTAACCACAATAATGGCTGCAATACCTTGCATTGCGGCATTGCCTAATGCAGATCTTAGCTCTCCTACGTAGAACTTGCTCTAGAGTAGCACTTGCATTAAAACTACCATGTGTATCAGATGTGTGCTGGTATGGTGAATCAAAATGCACAACTACATGTACACCGCATGCACTAACATAAAGCACCTACTGCTAGTTGAATGGTCTAGGCAGAGAATGAAACGTGAATGTGGCAACTGCATAGCCATGCATTTGCTGTGGACACTCAGTCTAAGCCAATTCCGCTAAACCGAGTACATCCCGTCTCGAAGCGCATTTCGTTATTGCATTTTTGTCAGACTCGTGGTCAGTCCATGCGACTCGATCATCCTCCAACTTCGAAGAGCTTGCTAATTGCATTTCAGCTCGCCTCGCCTCCTGTGCAGCTTTGCAGGGCCACAACACAATGCAACTCCAAGGGTCCCCCCCTCCTCGACGTCGCATCGCATTCTTTGACAGTTCAGTTCAACGTCAGCTGGCAGGTGCCGCCGTCAGTTTTCTCCCCTCGGAGTTCCTCAGCGCTTGGGCTGGAACCAATCATCATCAACCCTGCCCCAACCGCTCCCCCCCTCTCCCCATCCAAATCTCCAACGCAACCCCCACCCCCCTCTCCCCCTCTCCCCCGCACCCACCCTGCAAATCACACCACCACAACCCAGCCGAGCAATTCGTGCAAACCGAGGAAAACAGAGCATATCAAGCTGAACCGAGCAAAACCGACAAAATTAATAAAACCGAGACTGCCGGGCCATTTCATCCTCCTGTCAGCAGCAGGCAAATCATCAGCGAATTATATGGAATTCGTTCTGAAAATTTAGAGAAAGCCCATCATCAAGACCAGCGCGCGCTATGCTCGTACCTCTCTAGGCTAAGCCTCGGTGTTGGGTAGATACAAGTTGTTCAGGCTAGCATCGCGAGTCGCGACGCCCCGCTGGCGTCAATAACACTCTCAGTCAAACCACGTAACCTTACAAGAAAGCTCCGCGTTTCTCGTCCGACGAAACGTCGCTTAGTTTTTGCTAATTGGTCTGATAACCTCCAACCGTACCTTGTCTCGTCCTAAACGGCATTAGGAAGGAGAAAGCCAAGGCCGCACAACTTGAACTATAAGACTGGGATTGTTGCCGGAAGGCCGGACGGCTCGTTCATTTGATACAACATGGCGCACCCAGGCAGTCTTTCCTATCCGTCCGTTCGAAGCTCATGGCGATTCTTTCTGACACTCCTGCTGATCGCGTGTATCTCCGTTCACCCCGTTACAAGCACACGTTCGCATGCAAGAAGCCACCAGAATGATCACATCGCCGGTCATAATAGATTAGACCGGCAGTTTCACCGCCGACAACTCGTCGACGAGGGTAGTACTGCCACTTACCGCGACGCGGACAGTCGAATTAGTGACCGTTACTACGATCTCGATCAAGATCGCCGTCAACTACGGGTTAATGACCTAGCCGATGATCGTCGGGTTGAAGGCCGAGTTGACGGCAGTCAGGTTACTGACGACCGTCACGATGTCAGTCAACGTCGCCGGCAGCTCTACGAGGCTGACGCCGCCATTCGCGCTCTGCACCATCACCACCTCCCAAGCGGCGGCGGCGGCGGCAGTGACGGCGGCTCCGGGAGTTACGTGAACATGGAGGAAGAAGCGTTCTCCTCGTCGCTCTGCTGGAGCGTGTCAGAGCGACGCTACTACCAATCGGTGCGTTGCTAAGAGTCTCCCAAAAGAGACTCAAGCTGCGTAGAATCTGCTTCGGCGTTCCTCAAGCGTTTTGAGGCGCCTCAGAAACCGATTCGGCGTTCCTCTTATCAAAGCAGTCTAGCCATTTCCCTCTCGCTAACGGCGATTTTGAACCACAATGATTGTGCTTCTGTGAATTCGTGCAGCCGTACAGCACCGCGACACGCATGTCTGACGCGCTATTCGAGCGCATCCAGCGCACGAGTTCACGAACGTAACGCCATCTCTCCGGCGCTATTGAGTCGACTCAAAAGCGATCCCTCTTTTCGGCTCTTCCCTCCCGCGATTGTGCAGCCGTACAGCACGGCGACGCGCATGTCCGACGCGCTGTTCGAGCGCATCCAGCGCTACACCAAGACGCACGCCGCGTGCACCGCTGCCGTCGCCGATTGGCCGGCCTTCTTTAACGACCCGTGAGTCCGCGCCGCATCCCACGGCGGTTCCTTCCTCCCACCCTACATTCCACGTTTCTCCCCACATTCCACCCTCGCACATCCTTCATGTGGGGGTTCTGTTACATCGAGCAGCACCTGGGAACTCTTCTTCTCCTGCTTACCTCTCCCAATATCCTCCTGCTCTCCTTGTGTCCCAATCGCAGCGCGCAGGGGCTCAGCAGCAACGCGGCAGCCGATGCGGCCGCGGACTGCAAGTACCTGCTGTGGCTCGAGCCCACGTTCAACGGTGAGTGAGAGAGTGCGTGGTTGATTGTTGTGAGCTGTGGGGCTGATGTGGTTGATGTGGCTTGAACACAGGAGTAGGTTGTTGCGGCCGCGGACTGCAAGTACCTGCTGTGGCTCGAGCCCACGTTCAACGGTGAGTGAGGCATGGCATCACTTGTGTCCCTCTCTCAGTTCCCAGGCACTCAGCAACAGCAGCGCGTCAGGGGACGCTGTAGCGGACTGCAAGTACCTGCTGTGGCTCGAGCCCACGTTTAACAGTGAGTGAGAGTCCATCTTGTGTGTGTCCCTCTCAGCGCTCTGAGCCTCAGCAGCAGCAGCAGCGCATCAGCTGACGCTATAACAGACTGCTAGTAGTACCTGCTGTGGCTCGAGCCCACGTTCAACGGTGAGTGAGGGTCCGTCTTGTGTGTGTCCCTCTCACCACTCTGGGCCTCAGCAGCAGCACGGCAGTTGATGCAGCCGCAGACTGCAAGTACCTGCTGGTGGTTGGTGAGAGAGAGAGAGAGAGAGTGCGTGGTTGGTACCTGCAAGTACCCACGTTCAACGGTGAGAGAGAGAGAGTGCGTGGTTGGTACCTGCAAGTACCCACGTTCAACGGTGAGAGAGAGAGAGTGCGTGGTTGGTACCTGCAAGTACCCACGTTCAACGGTGAGAGAGAGAGAGTGCGTGGTTGGTACCTGCAAGTACTCACGTTCAATGGTGAGAGAGAGAGAGTGCGTGGTTGGTACCTGCAAGTACTCACGTTCAACGGTGAGAGAGAGAGAGAGCGTGGTTGGTGTGAACCGTCTTCTGTGGCGCCTCAAAAGTGCGTGGGGTGGTGTGTGAGAGCCGTGGTTGAAATCCTGGAGAGTAGGTTGTTGATTGAGACGCGTTACTGCCAGCCTGCCTGCTTGGAAAAGAAACTCCTCTTCCTCGTCTCTTCCTTTCACTACACTCTCCCTCGTCTCTTCCTTTCACTACACTCTCCCTCGTCTCTTCCTTTCACTACACTCTCCCTCGTCTCTTCCTTTCACTACACTCTCCCTCGTCTCTTCCTTTCACTACACTCTCCCTCGTCTCTTTCACTACACTCTCCCTCGTCTCTTCCTTTTGCTACACTCTCCCTCGTCTCTTCCTTTCACTACACTCTCCCTCGTCTCTTCCTTTCACTACACTCTCCCTCGTCTCTTCCTTTCACTACACTCTCCCTCGTCTCTTCCTTTCACTACACTCTCCCTCGTCTCTTCCTTTCACTACGCTCTCCCTCGTCTCTTCCTTTCACTACGCTCTCCCTCGTCTCTTCCTTTCACTACACTCTCCCTCGTCTCTTCCTTTTGCTACACTCTCCCTCGTCTCTTCCTTTCACTACACTCTCCCTCGTCTCTTCCTTTCACTACACTCTCCCTCGTCTCTTCCTTTCACTACACTCTCCCTCGTCTCTTCCTTTCACTACACTCTCCCTCGTCTCTTCCTTTCACTACACTCTCCCTCGTCTCTTCCTTTCACTACGCTCTCCCTCGTCTCTTCCTTTCACTACGCTCTCCCTCGTCTCTTCCTTTCACTACACTCTCCCTCGTCTCTTCCTTTCACTACGCTCTCCCTCGTCTCTTCCTTTCACTACGCTCTCCCTCGTCTCT